ACACACTCACAGACATCTTACCACCTTCCCTAAGCGCTACTTTATAAATTTCTGACCCACGACGAAACGCATACATTGTGGCGCGTATGTATAAAGTTGTGCCTTGCTATGTACTCCCATTTGCTGATATATGTTTAGTACATATGTAAATATATTTCCCCCGCTGCTGGCGTGCTTATACCAACTACAAGTATTCAATGAATGCGCGATGACCAGCACCGAAGGCTCTTTAGCTTGTCTTACCACCCATTGTACCCCCACACAAAACCAATAAATTTCCTTTTTGTGTAGCTTCTTGGGCTGGGAGTTGCAGAGCCCATTCTAGTCTATGCTCAAAGCCACCCAAGAAGCTGCCACTATGCCTCTACCCTTCATCAATCGTCATCAACTTTTCTGGCCAATGTCCAGTTTGATGAATTACTTACGACACGTTAGAGGCGAGCAGCGGCACAGTGGGTTTAGGGTGATGAATTCTTACGATGATATTTTTGTTTTTGTAATTTATTTGCTTTTTTTTTATAAAAGCTATTTTAATCTAATCTAAAATTTTGATAATTCTTTGATAATTATAAAAAAAAATATGTAAAAAAAAGTTATATAAAATATAAATTTAGTTTAGTAAGCTTTATTTTCAACATCTTATTTTTATTATTTATTATTTTACTTTTTGATAGCAAGTTCAATTTTACAATAATATAAAAAAAAATTAGATTTAGACTAAAAATTTTTTTTTTTTCTTTTAGCTGTAAATATAAAAACATATTTTGGAATTATAATTAATTATTGATAAAAAATTTTATATTAATTTTATACAAAATATTATTTTTAATAGTCAGCTTTAGTTTATTTATTAAACAAATTATAAAAACTTTAAATTAGATTAAATATTCGCTTGAAAATTGTATTGTATGCGGCTTAAAACATTCAAATAAGTAAAGAATTAACAATAAAAAAATTTTTTAAAATACATACAAAATTTGGTTAAAGCATTTTTGGTCAAGATTTTGCTTAGAAAAATATATAATATTATTCTTTGTTATTTGTTTGTAAAAAATTATAAGACAATCAAATTTTCACCAACTTCATCCCACTGTACCACAAGTCCCTCGCAACAAACGCAAGCCAAATGACGGCACAGTTGGCGGCGGCAAAGCGTATGTCAAAAACGTAACGCGTTCGCCTGCGAGACAGCGGAGTGCCAGCTGAGGAACGCAGTCGCTGGCGAAGAAGCGAAAAATAGGCAAAATGGAGTTGGGCAACGGCAAGAAACAGGAACAAGCAACAACAACAGCAATAGCTAAATATATACATAACTACAAATCTTAGAAGCACCAGGCACATTCGCCGGTTTAGTTGGACGCTCCTTATTGCTTGTTGTTGTTGTTCTTGTTGCTGTTTCTTTCTGTTTTCCTCAACGCCCCCTGCCCCCCGTCGCATAGCAATTGGAAACCTAATCAGCCCGACAACCCCATTACTCAGCGCACTAAACGTGTGCGCATTTGTAAAGCAGGACGAATAGCCCCTAAAAGCGCGCTTCAATACACATATTGTACATATACCTAAGCATATAAGGAGGCGTATGTCAGTATGCCAGCACTATTCTGGCACCAAATATAGCTAAGTACACATGTGTATGTGTGTTCGTATCATTAGTTGCTGCTACGTCTTGTCGTTCGTCTCAATGTGTGCGCGCGTGTTTATCTGTATGTGTGTGTGTGTGTGTGTGTTAGGGGTACATACTTTACTAACTTTGATGGTCGTTTACACGCCCCCCATATCCTGCCTACGTCCCTGCTCATGTCGTGCACACACGCCGCACACTCGCCTTGCCACTCGGCAAACGCTACCAACTTTGTCTGTCCGTCTATGGGGTCATCTATCCATCCATTATATTTGGTACATTGTAAAATGGGATTTATTGTGCAAAAGGCATGATTAACTTTTTTCTCACTCCCCAGCATACTGCTCGTCGACCGTCACCCCTCTGCCGGCTTGCTTGCTTGCTTTTCTATTCGCCTTACTGACAGCCGAACCCGGACCCTTCACTTCGTACTTTCATTTTTCTTATTTGCAATTTTTTTGATTTCATTTCTGCCGCATTCTACATTCTAGTTATCTGTATAAGTATGTGTGTTGTTGCTATTGCTTGCCTTACTCGCTTTGCTTGCCTTGCTTGTTTCGTGTCTTGAGCGGAGCCGAAAACATTCTATTGAAGAAGTTGTGCTTTGCAGTCCTTCTCCGGCAGCATTTGTTTGGTTCATCTCTTTTTCATAGGGAATTAGTAAGTTTTCGTACGTCCAACGTCCCTTGCTTCCGTTGCCGGTCTGTGTGTCCCCTTTAACTGCTGGGTGAGGCGAAAAAAGTTTTGCTTAAAACAATAAAGCATGAATCGGCAACTGGGGTGCTAGCCTTCATAACTTCTTTTCATTTTGCGATGTTTTGTTTTTGTTTTCATTTATTGTTTTTCTGGTTGCTTGTGGCGTTGGTTTGAAGCGTCTGCTACGAAATTGATTAGACATTAGTTTTGATGGAAATTGCTGCCAAAATATATGCTGTGTAGGCCTAAAGTGTTGGAATGTGCTGAAGATATGGCACTGGACTTATTTGTGCTTTGTACGAGTGCACAGTTTTGCACAGAAACTTTCTTGAATGTGTATGAATTTAACTGACGCTAATGTTTCTTGTAAACTTCCAAGAAAATGTGGATGTTTTAGCAGTTACTGATGACTTAGCTTAAGAATATAATTATGTTGCAATAAGCAGGTGCAAATAATTTTTAGTTTGCTTTCCGATCACTTGCTTTAGAATTATCTACAGAGTAGCCCAATCTTGAGTTGATAATTACCTATATAATTACCTAAATTTAAGTTAAACAAAAAAAGAGCGAATAATATTTTTTCTGCATTAAATTACATTTTCTAACAAAAGCTTTTTCTAAACAAAAAAGTTAACCGAAGGATTTGTGTTCTTCTCCACAGGCTTTTAAAGGCCGTCTCTCAACCAAGGTGTTGACATACATAAAACATTTTCGTCGATTCTTTTTATAAACGATGGAAAATAGCTTTTCTACCAGTGTTTTTGAAAACTCTAAGAGGGAAATAGTAATGACGGTAACCACTTGCATTTTTCTCTCAAAATTGTAGTGCGCATATTGCGGGTTTTCGCAAAACAGCGTGTCTTAAATTTTCTACATCACCACGGAACAAAACAAAGGGTTTTGAAAAGAAATTTTTCATTTTAGCGATACACTCCCACCTTTTTTATAACTTTACGCTCTCCTTGGTTTCAATGGGAGCAAATTTGAAATAAGCAATTAAATACCTCAAGGATACATGACAAAAAAATTTATGGAAGAGAAGAAGTTTAGCTGTAAAAATCCAGAAATCAGCGAAGCGCGGTAGGGATCTCCATTAATAGTCTATCATCGAAGCAGCGCATTTTCTGTGATTTTTTGACCTAATGAGACTACCTAACATAGCTTTAATACCCTTAACAAGCCGAAAAGTAAAGAGCTTGTTTTAGATCGGTCAGTTTGTATGAAAGCTACATGCTATAGTGATCTGATCTGAAAAATTTGTTCGGAAATTGTGTCATTGACTTAGACCAAGAATAATGGTCTAGCTTTTTGTGTTTTTTAATTCGAACGATTTTTCGATTTTGAACTCTCCGATATGAACGACCTTGATTCAACGTTTTTCGGATCTAATCGATTTAGGTTCGAATTGAAGAATAATATAGTAAATAATTATGACTATACTCATCAAATTTTTTGGATTTTGTTATTTCAGGCTCACAGATATTGACGGTTAATTTTAAAAGAAAAAATAAGGGAAATAATCTCAAATAAAAATTGTCGATTTTGGTCTTTCAGGCCCTAGATATTGATTAGATTTTTACCAGATCTTGTTTCTGTAGTTTCAAAATGCAAAATCATTTATATATTAATATATTTCATCTGTTCTTCTACCAGTTCTCCGAACTAGACATATAAGAATATCGTTCCACTTATTAATCTTAGATATTTATTAGATTTTTACCAGATCTCCTAGGCGTTGTTTCAAAATGAAAAATAAGGGATGTATTAATATATTCCTTCTGTTCTTCTACCAGTTCTCTGAACAAGACATATACGAATATCGTACCACTTGGTACTCCTAAACAAAATTACTCGCTTTTGGTCTTTCAGGCTCTTAGATATACATTATATTTTTACCAGATCTTGTCGATTAAATTTGAAAATAAGAAATGAGGGAAATATTTATATATTCCACTGTTTATTATGCGGTCCTCTAGATAAAGAATTAGTTAAATATAGACATAAAAACAGTTTTAAGATCTCACCGATAGATGTCACTGGTTATACTGTTCGACTCGATTCGTGCACCATATTTTTTTGGAACATTTCAAACGATTTGCTTGTTTTGTGCTACAATTTTTTTACTAGCATGAAACAATAATTGCTTTAAAAATTATTTCTTTCATGCCTGACAATATATAAGTAAGTTTGATCCATTAATTTAAACTAGAAAATACTATTGTTTATATTTTTTCAAAATACTTAAATTTATTCGGTCCAATTTTTATAAGTAAAAACTTGTACTAATTCCGGAGTGGAATCCATATTAAAATTCGAGTAAAGGATTTATGACAAATTCTTTACTAAACTGATGAGATAATGATCCATTCGAGCAAAAAGCATTACAAAGTCCATTATTTGTATTTTTTCGGGCGTAATTCCTTTTGCCAAACGCTGATCATGCGATTTTAGCAACCAGGTTAAGTTTCTTCTAACAAAATCTACTGAAAAATAAAAACTTTACCTAACCAAAGCTCTTTCCCATTCACTCGTAAGAAAACTATTAATATTGTTTTGATTTTGAAGCAAATTTTTGCTGATATTACAACTCCGTTACTTCGTTCCGCATTTTTATGCCACCTCCAAAACTTTACGCATTATTTCCTTAATTTTTTCTTAAAATTGCGTGCAACTAGTCACCTACCTTATGCAGCAGCACCGATGCTTTGCGTTTCGATGCCATTTTAGTGGTGCCACCACCACTGCTGCCACCGGTACCGGTTGACGACGCTGTACGTGTCGACTGTTTTGGTGTTTTTCTCGGATTCTTCGGAATTTTGGATAATTTTTATGCGCTGAACGCCGGCTTTGGACTACAGGAAATACCGTTAAAGGAAAATCAAAAGCAACGGCTAAGCGTTGGCAATGCGTTGTGCTGATTAGATTGCACTAAACGTACGAAGAACTGTGTGCGTGTGCGTGTGTCACAGTTCTTAGAAGTTTTTTTTGTAATGTCACGTTCGATGGATATCTTTTCAGATATATTGCTTGAGCGCGAAATGTTGCAGTTAACGGTAAATGCACAAACACTGTCAACACACACTTACGAACTGCACTTTGTTGTTTTTGTATGCGCTATATTTTTGTTATTTTTAGATTTTTAGCAAAAATTTGCCACTTTCGCGCTGTAGCACAACTTTTTTGAAAGTAACGGTTTTTGAAACTAGCTGCCGAGCAATTGACAGCATTTACTTTGTGGCAACACTTTGTTTATGTCTCGAAGACAAATTCACACACTTTGAGTTAGGCGTTTCTTCAATATCTTTTCTTTAATTTTTTTTTTTGTTTTTCATACAACTTTTTTTCACACTTTCTTTGCGGTTTCTTCGCCACTTTTTTTTATTGCTGATTAGCTTGTCATGTTCCGCTAGCACACGTTTTCTGCTCGCCTCGTGTGCGACGCTGTACTGACTACGACGAGAGACCTAACGCCACCGGATAACAACTGCTGACTGACCAAAACAGAAACAAGCGATTGAGTTTTAACTTTTGATAAAACGGAATGTGCCGCCGACATAACCGCACCACACCGTCACACAATCTAGCTGCTGCACGTCAACCCCAACTAGTCCGCACGAGCTCGCCAACCGGCCCAACATATGAGAGATAGCAATGCGCTGAGCATAGTTGAGCTGTGGTGTCCAACGTCTACCCCGCGCCGCTTGAGAAAAAGGAAGAAGCGAAAGGATATAGCAGAAAGAGACGACCAGTAGTAATGGGCATGCGCACAGAGTGGGCGAAGGACATTGAAACATAGATCGGGCGCAGCAGAGAGAGAGCGAGTGTGATGGGTAAATGAGTTTCGCTAAGGACTCCACAACATGCTGACTGAGTGGGATGGACGTAAAAGAAAATTGACGATAAGGCGGCCTGTGTGTGACGTCGAAGAATGAGAAACGCACAAGAGAAATGGAAAAAATGTGCAACAATGAATGAAGTAGGCTGGTCGTTGGCGCGCGCCAAGTGGTTGTAAACATTGCCAAGTGGAGTCGAGCGGAGAGCGTGCGGTATGTGGTGTACGTGCGGTGCATTTGTAGACCAAAGACGGGCGAGCGCGGTGTCGGCGGAGGTAAGTACAGCTGGATAAAAACACAGAAACGGCGATAAGCGACAAAATGTCAGAGTGACGAACGAAATGAAGTGAAAACAATTTAATGAAATTTGTGCACCGAACGCATAGACGAACTGGCGTACGACAGCATTGACGACAAGACAGCAGTTTTTCGTGCAAAGGACGAAATGGCGGTGCGTGCAATGGTGCGTCGGCAAAGCACAAATTTTTGTTTGTGCCAAGGCAGACAAAACGCTGCGACGACGTAGGTCGCGCCGCATGTGGCTGGGCAGGTTGGGTGTAGACGTACCATGGCCTCGACTGCTGCGACAACTGACGCGCGTATGGCTTAGGGTAGGTACGGCAGGCGTATTGTGTGAGCGCCGTTATGCCAAATGCTGGCGCAGGGTTGCTGTTAACGGTACGAATTGGTGCGGATCGGGCAGTTAGCGCGAACGACGCTGCAGCTGAGTCAATGCCAGCACCAACGATGTGCTGCAGCTGTGTAGAGTTGGGGCGATTGTGCGACTGCCGATGGCAACTCGAAACAGCTGAGTTTTGTGCGCGTGTATTGTTCGTAATGTCGATGAGGTTTGGCGCGCCTTACGAGCTGTGTCAGCATTGGGACAGCTGGGCGGAATTGATGTGGCAGTGAGTGGAATGAGAAAACGAACACACGGACGGTTAGCGAACGTTGATGTTGATGATGATATGGCGAGTGTGGGCCAGGGTTCGTGTCAAACAATATAAAATATATGGTGTGGGAAAGTAGTTGTATGTGGAAGCAATGATATGAGTAGGCGGCCAAAACGGAGCGACTGGGATATTGTGAGGGTTGGATTAAGCGTACGTAGAGGAGGTCGGCCATATGAAAAAGAGGTGGAGAGGAGCAGCGCGTAAAACATGTTGGGAGCGCGCACAAACGGCTGCGTATGCGTTCAACGGCAGTGGCTAAATAAAAAATGGAAAATATGAGCATAAAAAATAAAAGCAAAGCACATGGCAGTTGGAGCTGGTGTCACCATTTCGGATACGAAAAAAGAATGGAACAAGCATGGTGTAGTTGGCGCGCCATGGACGTCGTTTGTTATGAGCAGCGAACTGAAGAACTGAAGGTGGTGTCGATATACTCACTTTGTCCGCTTGGGTTAGAGAGTTGTGGCGCACAGGCACCAATGTGACTGATGATGAGTAAAGGATTGCGTGCTTGATAAACAACAACGCATAGGCCATAGGCAGCGGCGGCGTGGTAAAAACGAGCAGAAGGCAGTGCGCGTTTTTGGAGTGTGGGTGCAAAAATTTTAAAACGAAAATAAAATTGGAAAAGCTAAATGGAAAAAAACAAAACTGTATTAGCATGAGCACGGTGGTTAGGCGCAAGCATAGCGTACGTGTGAGTGCGGCGTAGCGAATTTAGGTGGCTACACTGCCAACTGAGCGAGTTGTGAGGTGGTCATTTGTGTGCTATGTTTTGCTAACGTTGGTTAGCGTTGAGAGTTAGCCGACAGCTGACGGCGCCACGAAAGGTGCGCACTATGTGCGAAGGCGTAAAGGACGAACTATTACTATGATTGCGCTAGTGATGATGAAGATAACGATGAGAGTCAAATGTAGCACGTGCTGGCGCTCATGATGCCGCAGCGCTTTTGTTGCTACACAGAGCTTAGCCACCAGTTTGCTAGTGTGAAGGGGGGGACATGCTCCAATTCGGCATATGAGAATGGGTCAAGAGCGCGGCGGGTTGTTGTGTTTCCCAGCCGCGTCATATAAATTCGTTTAGCAACAATAGACTTTTTGTTGTGTACTTTCGGATTGTTTTTTGCTTTGCGTGTACTTGAGCATATGTATGTTTGTATGTATGACAGCTCGCGGTAATTGTGGGCCGCTATGCAACAACGGGGCAGCGGTTAATTTGTAGGCTGTTATTTGAAAAATCATGCTTTTTCGCTTTTGCGTTTTTTACGCTTTGATATTATTTTGTTTTTGTTTTGGTTTTTGTGTTTGTTGGTTTTCGGCGGGCTTCTGACTGACCGCCGCTCTGCATTTTATGCTACACAGGTGGGTGTCTAAAGTCGGTGGGGCAGTTTGTGGCAACAAATAGACAGAGAGCAATGGTGTTGCATGCAACATTACGCCAAGCAGCGCGTCGATTGGCGTGCTAAGCATAGACATAGAGGTGCGACGTTCAATTATGCTTTTGTTTTTGGTACACGGTGCGTAGGGGTACGTATTTGTATTCTGCTAGAACAATAGGCTCAAGGATGTTTGTGTGTCCGGGTAACTGCTTTTTAAAACAAACTTTTGTCGGTTATGTTACTACTTTTGATGTAATTTATGAAGTTTAAGTTACTTTATTATTTGTATGTACTATATATTTATATTTCGGTAATATGGCAAACGTATTCAAAGTGGTTTGCCATATAAAAAAAATGCCGTCGGCTATTAAAATTGTGAACCTGAATTTTTTTTTTTTTATTTATGGAACGAGAAACATCGTTGACTTTAGTTGCAGCAAAGCTAGCATATTCTACAAAAATACATAAAAAAAGGTTTTTAAAAAAGAACTTGATGTAAATCGATCTGTTTCTATGGTTGATTTCGGTTCCGAAAAATGAGCAACTCCTTGGAGAAAAAGGGATGTGTGCAAAATTTCAAATTAATATCTTGCAAACTGAGAGACTAGCTCGCATATATACAGACATAGAGCTAAATCGACTCAGCTCATCACGCTGACAATTAATTTATACATTTTATAGTGTCTCCGCTGTTCTTTTCTGTGTGTTACAAACTTCGTGTCAAACTCTACTCAGCGTATAAAATCAAGCAATTGAAATATAATTTAAAACACTACCTTCAATTACCGAGACAATGTTTGTATCTTCTAGTGGTGAGACCCTAACTTCATCACTTTTTATCATAATTGTTGAAAGCTGTCATTCTGTAAGAAATATTAGGGTGGAGCAAAAAAATTTTTTTTTTGCTTAGCGGGGGTAAAATCTGTAGATTATAAAAAAATAAATGTTTTTTGAACACCTAATGGCGGCGCACTCAGTTCTAAAGTAAATGTTTTTTGGACAAAAGAAAATAATTTTTGGTTTACACTCTTCACGTTTATGTCAAATATACCGAATTTGACGGTTCTGACTCAAAATTTATTTTAACGCTTAAGGGAAGCATGTGGCTATTTAAGACTTTTTTTAAACCTCCAATAATGACCACAAAAATTTTTTTAAGTTGATAAATTTTAATTGGCCAGAAAGTGAACTCGCCACAGCTTCTAGAACACTTATCAAAATTTTTTTACAAAATAAACATTTTAACTCGGAACTTTACTTTAAAACTGAGTGCGCCGCCTTTAGGTGTTCAAAAAAAAATTTTTTTTGACCAAAAATTTTCTTTTTTTTTTTAATCTACAGATATTACCCCCAGGCTATGTCAAAAAAAAATCTTTTTTTCGCTCCACCCTAATGAATATGGCATTATTTCTGTGTAACTTAGATATATTCTTGTATTCTGAATTTCAATATATTTTTTGAAATAGATATTAGAAATGTTTATATTTACAAATTGTCAATGCCCTCTAGAATCATCTAAATCGTCAGTATTTTTTTTGTAATGTTTCAACATCAAATTAATTTTAATCAAATAAACAAAAAAGTGTTTTTCTTCTTGCTGATCAGCACTGAAACTGTCAAAGCAATTTTTGCGAAGTTTATGCCGATGAAAATAATTCGCTTATCACTTCTTCGTTTTACTACAGAAGTTACGTTCTTTTTATTGTACTATTTCCAGTTACGCCTTCTTTGAAATCTTTTGGAGCTTGAATTTTTACCTACTTACCTACCAACTCTTCGATGTAACTAGGTCAGGATGAAAGCTTCTTTGAGTGATATTACACCACGTTTTATCAATTGAATTCTTCTGTCGCCTGAATATGTTCTAATTTCATTTATTGCTCTTTTTAAGGAGAATACCATACTAATCAATCCGACTTTAGCAATACTTACACATACGAATATTTTCTATAGCAAATCATCTTTTTGATTTTATCAAGTTGAGTTTGTAAATTGCCTTCTGTCGCCACATAGTTTCATACATCTCACTTCTACCAAATACGGGAAGATTTAGGTCTCCAAAATGCTGATACTGTGTTTATTCATATATTAACTCTCTCTAATTTCCCTCTAAAAGCAAATGCAGTTTTTCATCATCCGCGATACATAAAGATCTATGTTGTGTATTCCAGTATTTTTAAACACTTAATCATTGCTTGACCAGCGTCAGATGAAATAATGGATTTTCTAGGTTCAGGGTTGTCTCACTGTGTTCGAGTAGATGTGCTCGGTTATCTCTATTCTTCCGAAAACAGACGTAAAAACAACTCACTACTGGTAAAAAACTGCATTAGATTCTCTAATATTACAAACTCGTTGCAAGAGGGTTTATATAGTCCAACCAAACGATCAATGATAACCGCTAAAGTAA